TTTTTTTTCCTCAGTGTTATGTCCGTGAAATCATTCTTATGTCTCTTTTTGTGATAAGGAAGAAGATTCAATGTTGATTTTTGATCTCTGACAGGCTCTCTGGTCCCACTCCACTCACTCCCCTACCCTGCCACGTGTGAGACCAACAGGAAAGCTGGGGTACACTCAACTTACCACATGCTGACTATCTTCTGCCTACTCATAATGTTTCAAGTATTCAATCCAAAGAAATAAAGAAAGTTGCCACGAAATCTTTACTAATAGCTGGTGGCTACTTATTTTGGACAACAAGAAAAGTAGTCTTTTGACTAGAACAATGGGAAGAGTATTACATTTTATAAAAGTATAAAACTGAGCTATTTACACCATTGGCATGTATTGTTTTAATAATATTTCCAAAATATTAAGTTTTTTTTATAAGCTGAGACAAAAACAGATCCTACTGGAACCACTCAAGTTGGTGCTAGTGGTTATTACATCACCTGGCAGTTGAAGACATGACTAACCACCGCCAGGCTGACTGGGACCAAAGGCACATGAAGAGAAAGCTCAGGATACCATTGTCTAAGATCAGAACAATTAGCAGAGGGCTCCCACCTGGACTTCCTACCTACATATCAGGTCCTTATTTTACTGTGCCCTTACCATACAAGACTAAAACCAACCTTTTCATCAGAGAAGGATAGACACTTCATTGTTCACTCCAAGAAGGAGGTTATCTAAATGGTCCCTCCAGGAAGAATGGAGAGACTGAAAAACAAAAATAACAATCTCTTAGCATACCATGTAAACAAGGCTTCCTCATCTTTAGACAGACATTCTCCTCACACGTCTAATTGGCCACAATAATATGGTACTGATATAACTCTTCTTTCCTTTAATGCCACGTCTTTAATTTCTTCCTTCCTACATTCATTTATTTATTTAAGACAGGGTCTTGCTCTGTTGCCTGGGCTAGAGCATAGTGGGATCATCATAGCTCACTGCAACCTCAAACTCCTGGGCTCAAGCCATCCTTTTGCCTCAGCCTCTCAAGTAGCTTGAGACTACAGGCACATGACCCACACCAGGCTAATTTCTTTTTTTTTTTTTTTATGTATATCTTTTAGAGACAGGGTCTTGCTATGTTGCCTAGGCTAGTCTCAAACTCCTGGCCTCAAGTAATTTTCTAGCCTTGCCCTCCCTAAAAGCTAGAATTACAGAAATGAAATACCACCCCTGTTTCTTCCTTCATTTAATATTTAGATTGTCCCTGTTATGTGTCAAATAATGTGCTAGGTAAAGAATTAAGAAGCTATGTCCCTATCATGAAGTAGGTCATACTCTAGTTGGAAGAGACAGAAGTAACCCATTTCAGTACAATGAGGTTTGTGACATGGTAGGAGTTGTGCTCTGGGGCAAACCCATTCAGACAAATCAGACTATAAGAGCTTTTCATGAAGAGAAAAATTTTAAGTGACTCATCAATAATGAGAATGAGATATTAACACATAAAAGATAATAGCTGGCCAAAGAAATAGGATGTAAACTTAGGTTTTCTATAGCCCTAAAATAAATGAAGGTCTGAAAGCTATACTATTGTAGATCAAGTGCCAAGAAAACAGATTCTGAGTCAAGGATTCCTATGCAAGGAATTTATTAGAAAGCATTAATGGATCAACATTTGTGGGAAGAAAAGGCAGGAGGATTGAACAGAGGGAAAATTGACCTGCAGTATAGTCACAAAATAGCCTTAGCCAATCACTGGGAACCTGTGAAGCTGAGAAGACCCTTCAGAAGTCAGGTATAGGGTCTAGACATTCATACTCCCACATATACCATTCAATGGAAACAGGCAGACTCCAGAAAGGGACCTCTTTAAATGACCCACATCAGCCAAAGATAATTCCAAGAATGGCCCCCAAATCTACTTACCAAACATTTATGCTTTTCAATAGAGGAAATTACTGGATTAGTTTGCCATCTTTCACCTTGAAATCCTCTATCTTCCAGAGGCTTAGTTTTGTATCCACAACATATTCTTTGTCCAATCAGCTATTGCTATGGTTGCAGTTTGATTTCACTCAACCACAAGGTATGAGGAGTAGAAACCCTTATAGAAAACACGCACATGCACACAAACACAAACCTTGGTTTAGACCATTTTCCCTAAAAGGCAGCTATTGACATGGGAAGCACATAGGCTTTGATATTCAGGAAATACATCTTTTTTAAGAAGGAAAATGGCTGCCTAACCTGCTGCTGTGAAAAGGCAGTAATAGAAAAATATTTACCCTCATCAACTGTCTTCTATCTAGGGTGCTTACTTTTCTCCAGGTGTTGTAGGTAATCGAGGTCATTAACCTCTAGGAAACTATGCCTTAATCTGTGAAAAGTATACTAAGGCTATCAAGAAGTAAGGGTGTAGCTTATTACATGGAGTCACAAGACCAGCAGCATCAGCATCATCAGGAAATTGTTAGAAATCCAAATACTCAGCATCTTCCAGACTTACTATAGCAGAAAAATTGGGGGTGGGGCATGCACTCTGTGTGTTGACAAACCCTCCAGGTGATTCTGATGGACGTTGGAGGTGGGGTTTAGTTTACAGCAGTTGATAAGCAGACTAAGACAAATCTCTACAAGGGGCCGTATTCGTTTCTTTTCTAAATTTTAAAAATATAATTTTATTTTTTCCTGGTTCTAAAATGAATTCTTATTCATGGGAGAAATGTTTAATCCAAAACATATTAGAGAATGGAAATTCTATCCCCCAGGTAACATTACTCTGAACATTTTAGTGCATTTCTCTGCAGACATTTTTCACGAATATTCTGTTCACAGAAAATATGTTATTCTTGTTATTTTTAACCCTTTGCACTCGCTTGCTTTTTTCTCATTATCCACTCGACATTATCCACACTTGACATCTGAGTGCAAAGGGTTAACCTGCTTTTTGACTTACTAATCTGTTCACCTCAATACGGGTAACGAGAATATGACCTAGCTGTAAGTACAATGAACTTACCTGTATTCTGAGCCTACCCATGCCCTATTAGTCAGGAGCCCAGTCTTTTAAAGTATTTTTCCTCCCCAATATCTCCAAGTATAGAACTTTGTTTTTAAAGTATTAAAGGGCACATATGTTTAAAAGCAAGCAATTTTTATTTTGTGCTAGGCATTGAGATAGTTATACAGACAGGATGTCAACTTAATGAAGCTAAATATTTTAGAAAACATTAGCATGTAAAAAATTTTTTTAAGCTTCTAAATATGAGTATTATCTGCCAAATATTTCCACTTGACAGCTCCTCCATTCTGTTCTCATCATTTCTCAGGAAAGAAAGTCTAGTAGGAGGAAAAATGTCCCTTGTTTAATTCAAGACTGTAGAGACTGTTGGGTAATTGAATAAAGAAATCCAGGAGTTAATTATCATCATTACTGTTATCATTATTTTGCAGTAGTATTGCACAATGTTGTTCAGGTTTGTTGTGTCAAGAACACAGTGCAGTCTTCTGAGTCAGGCTGACTCTGGGATGGAATCTTTGCCCTAGCATTTGCTAGCCCTGTGGCTTGCTGGGTTACTTTGAGCATATGACTTAACCTTTCGAGTCTTGTTCTCATTTGTGAAAAAAAAGGATAAAAACGGAAAGTACCTTGCAAGTTTAATTTGAGAATTGAATAATATGTTAAATGAATAAGTTGGTTCTAAATACTTCCTAGTTTAAAGAAAAACAACAAAAAATTCTACATACCATGACAAGCAAAGTAACCTGTATTTGAAGCTAAGTGAGGTATTTCTTCTCCTTCCACTCCACTCTCTCTGTATGAACTTGAAGGAAAACAGGTCAACCCCTGGGCCTCAACATGAAGTAAGCAAGGACGTGCTTCTGCCAGCCAGACTCTGTGCCCCACTTTCACTGCTGTAGGTATAAGTCATTTTACACATGTGCAAGTATTTTTCTAGGATAAATTTCTAGGCTTAGAATTTATGGATCAAGACTATATGATTCTGTAATTTTAACAGATATCACCAAATTGCCTCCATAATGATTGTACCAGTTTCCAGTGCTTTGGAAAATTATGAGTGCATCCTCAATGTCTTCATAAGAGCAGGTTCTCTTAAATCAAACTTTGGGCTTTTATCTATCTCTTAGTTATAAGTGGCACCTTTTTTTTTTTCAGATGCACCTTAATGCATGTTTTATTCATTTTCTACTCAATACATTTAAGGTGTAATGATGTTTTTGACATAAATATACATAGTGAAATGATTATCATAGATAAGCAATTTAACATATCCATCACCTCATATGGTTTACCTTTTTCTCTGGTAAGAGCCACAAAATCTATCCTCAGAAAATTTCTGAGGATTTTACAAGACAATAATATAGTCATCAAGATGTACTTTTTAGAAAAAAATGTCTATAGATTTAGGGGGTATAAGTTGAATTCTGTTACAAGTATGTATTGTACAGTGGTGAAGTCTGGGCTTTTAGTATACCCATCACCTTAATAGTATTCATTGTACCCAGTATCACCCCCTGCCATCCTCTATCCTCTTGAGTCTCCAACATCCATTAGACCACTGTGTGTTTCCTTGTGTAGATAAATGGCATGGCATGTTATTTAGTTTGTGTCTTTATTATTATGAGTGAGGTTGAACCTCTTTTCATGTATTTTTTTTCCTCTAAAAACTGTTTGTGTCCTTTGATCCTATTTCTATTTTGCCACTTGTAACTTAAATATTCACTATGTAATGATATTTTCAAATCTTGCAAAGCAAATTATTCTTAATATTTCTCATTGTCTCTACCAATTTCTGGCAAATAGAATCATTGGAATGGAGTTGTATGTTAAGGGAAGTATTATTACATTGTAGGCATATCTCACTTATATCTACCCAATCAAACTCTGTTAAAATATACCCATTTGAAGAACCAATTATAAAATATTTAGTGAATTTATTTCAACTTATAAAAAATTAAAAAGGGATAGAAAATATAAAGCAATATTACAAAATAGAACAATTTGTGATCAATATACACAATCTTAAAATACAGATTATATATATATATATATACACACACACACACACAAAAAAAAATCAAAACGATACTAACCATTTTACAACAAACAGAAAAATAAGAATTTCTGGAGAAGTCCTCTAGCCCTTCTACCAGCCTACCTGCTTTTAAAATCTGTAGTGGTCTCTTGCTCTGTGTCATTTGAGGTTTCATTCCTTGTTAACTCAGCTTCCCTGTGAGTCTGAATATAAAGGACAGACACTGATTGATTTCTACTTGGATGATGGTCTAGATACAGCTGCTACATTCCTGTTTTTTTCAGATCATCATTGGATCCTTTGGAAGTACATTTTAACTTGTAACCTAAGGTTCTCACTACCCAAGGTACCACTTTTCTGCTCTGTTTCCAGTCTTATGAGTACTTCTAGGTATTCCAGCTGTTGATGAAGTTCAACGAGGAATTTCTTCATGTGGTTTTCCCCCTAATCATCCAGAGAAATATTTGCCCTGAAGAGGTTGAAGATCTGCTGAAGCACTTCATGGAGAAGGGCCAGTCCTTTTTGGCATGTCCTTTTTGGTACTGCTGAGGCCTCACAGACATATGGGGAAGCAGGAAGTTTTTCCTGTGTGGTAGACACTGCTGAATTGATGAGGTTTGCAGTTTATTCAAGAGTTTTAAACTCTCCTTGTTCACTCTTCTTTGATGAAAGAGAACCAGTTTCAATTCTAGGGAGAAGACTGCAGAAGAGGCCAGCCACACTGGCACAATTTCAAAGAAGTGCTTGTTAATCGTGGCGAAGGTCAAACATGCTACTCTGTGTGGACTTAGTAAAACTCCAACTCTAGTGAATGTTTGCCTTTCATGCATCTCAGATTATTGTGGAGGGTGTTCTCTTTTGTTGGTTTTGTTTTCTAATGTTGTTCCTTCTCCAAGTTTACCCAGTAGGTTTTCAGGTTCCCTTTTCTTGGTGTTCATGGGACATTTCCTCCACTTTCCCTGTTGTGTTGGCTATTTGAGGAAGTCACCAAAAAAACTTGTTTCATTGTATGCTTTCCTTGAGGCCATTACAGACTAGTCATCCAATATGATCTTTTGTTACCTTCATTATTTATCACATACAAAGTTTCACTCAACACAATGTGCTTTCTAAATATTTAGTCAAGCTTATTAAAGTTCTTTTATTGAGATTAAGCTTTTTTATTTTTAAGTAGTTTTTCATAGAGTAAAATTTACCAGAGGCTTAGCAGCATCTGTAATTAACTCAGAGGCAAAAATTGAAATGGATACAGACTACTAAATTTAAAACCTCAGGTAGAACTGTACATTTTCACAAATGCTTGAGCAAATTAATCTTAAAATATGTATCAGCAATCTTAAATTATTTTATCCAATCACTTTAATATCTAAGATTCTAGCCTATGGAAGCAATGTGAAAAATAACATTTAGTGAAAAAAAATGCTATAATGTTATTGCAATGGCAGAATATTAGAAAGGACCTACAATTCCAACAACAGAGGACTACTACATATATGTTGGTACATCCATATGATTAAATGATATATAACCATTATAAATGATAAAATTATGATAAAATTATATATGAGAAGAGATTGGGGGTATTTGGTTAGTTTATAGTCCCTAGGGTGGCAATAACTATGGTAAACTAATGTGAACATCTCTACATCAGTAGTACTTCTTGAATTACAAATACCCAGTTCCATACTCTAAATTCTCTTGAATAAGCCCCTCAATCTACCTTTCCAATTTTATCTCCCACTGTTGCTCTAAATATAGTGGTAGAGAATCCCAACTTCAGATAAAGTACTTATTTATTCCCTTAATACAACTAGCCCGTGTGTGTGTGTGTGTGTGTGTGTGTGTGTGTTTACTGACGATATTCTCTCTGAAACATCACCTATTGCCTCCTTCACCCCAAGTATCTGCCTGTGCAAGCAAAGACTGAGAACTACTTACCCTTTAAGGCTCAGATCTCCCCAACCAGCTATAATTTCTCTCCTGGATCCCCACAGCACTTTGTACCTCCTTTAACACCTTTGGCTATTTATTTACCTGTCTTACAACCTCCCAAGATTAAAATCTCTTAAGAGCATGGAAAAAACACTGATTTTTTTTTTACTGTCTATAATAGTTGATATATAGAGACTTGGAATAAATTAATATGTTCTACCACAAAGAAATAGAATATGTTGAATCTTATCTCTTTGTTTCTTTGCATGCAGTTGGGTGGTTCCCTAAATGTTGAAAACAGACCCTTTATAAACCTGTGTGGTCTCATTATATACCAGCTCAGCTCTATGTTGGTGTCACTTAGTCAGTCTGATATTAGTAAGCTGAAACAAACTGAGTCAGCGTGCTCCATGGAAGGGTGTTTTCTCTCTTTATCTTTCAGAGAGAGAATGAGAGAAAGAGAGAGAAGAAACCCATGGTAATCTATAATATACAAAAGGAATAACACTTGTTTTGATAACATTCTTATTAATATATCTGACTGGTCCTCAACATTAATATTTGAATATTTAATGCAGAGTGTCAGGAAAACAACATAAGGATAAATCAGGAAAATCAGAAGTGACTCTATTAAATGCAAATGTAATCTACAATTGAGGGTTTTATATAATTTTCATTCAATTGACAAAAATGATCTAAACTTAATGTTGTTTAATTTCTGAATACTTAGGGGTTTTTCATATTTCTGTCATTGATTTATAATTTGAATCTGTTGTGGTTAAATAATATAGTTTAAATTTATTGAGACTTATTTTATGGCTCAGAATATAGTCTATCTTGGTGAATGTTCCTTGTGAACTTGAAAGAATTATATTTTATTTTTGTTGGTTAGACTGTTTTATAAATGCCAATTATGTCAAGTTGGTCAAAAATGTTGTTGAAATTTTCTGTATCATTTCTGACATTCTATTTTTTCTATCAACTATCAAGAGAGAAGTGTTGAAATTTTCAAATATAATTTTGGATTTGTCTACCTCCCAATTCAGTTCAATCAGTTTTTGTTTCATATATTTTAAAACTCTATTATTAGGTACATGATATTTAGGATTATTATGTCCTCTTAATGAATTGGCCGTTTTATTTTGAAATGTCCCTCTTTCCCCTTGGTAATATTCCTTACTCTTAAATAAACTTTGATATATACTCATGCTTTCTTTTGATCAGTGTTTGCATGGTATATCTTTTTTGCATCTTTTTAGTTAACTTAGTCAATGTTTTTACATTTAAAGTGGGTTTCTTATATATAGCATATAGTTGGACTTTGAGTTTTATTCAGTCTGACAATCTTTGCCTTTTACTGGCATGTTTAGGCCACTACATTTAACGTGATTGTCGATATGGCTGGGTTTATGTCTACCATTTTACTATTTGTTTTCTAATTGCCTGTATTTTTTTCCCTCTTTTCCTTCCTTCATTTGGATTAAATTTTATCTTTTTGTTTTTATTGTTCCACTTTATGTCGTTACTAGTTTATTAGCTAAATGACTTTGCTTTATATTTTATTTTTATAGTAGTTTCTTTAGGGTTGAAAATATACATCTTTATTTAACATATTATACTTTACCTTCAAATAATATTATTTGCCACTTAAAGTATAATGTAAAGATATTACACTATACTTTGTGTAATGGTTTTCATACATTTTTGTTTTAAACTCAATGTACATTGTTATTATATTTTAATCATAAATAGATAATTATATTTTAGAGTTTTTTTAAATGAGAAAATAGTTCTTTTATATTTACTCACATATTTATTTACTCACATATTTATCATTTTACAATATTTACCATTATCACATATTTACCCATATAGTTACCATTTCTGGTGGTCTTCATTTTTGTAGATCTAAATTTCTATCTGGTATCATTTTTCTTCTTGAAAAACTTCCTTTCATATTTCTTGTATCACAGGTCCCCTGGCAACGAACTCTCTTGGCTTTTGTCTGCTTGAAAAATTATTTTGCCTTATTTTTTGAAATATATTTTGCTACACATACAATTCTAATTTGATATATATTTTTCTTTCAGTACTATAAAGATGCTGCTCCACTGTCATCTGGCTTGCATGATTTCTAAAGAGAAGAGTGCTGTCATTCTTAATTTCATTCCTTTGTGCATACTGTGCCTTCTTTTTCTATTACTGCTTTTAAGATTTTCTATCATTATTATTTAGCTATTTGATTATAATATTCTTTGGTGCAATTTTCTTCTTGTCCCTTTTACTAGGAGTGTCTTGGGCTTCATGAATCTGTGTTTTTACCCTTTTAATTAAATTTGGAAAAGTTTCAGACATCATTTTTCCAACATTTTTCTATCTCCATCTCCTCCTTCCCAATCTCTTCTTAGAGTACAACTATAGATCTGTTAGAGTGACTGTTCAATATCATCACACAGTTCCATCTAGCTTTGCTCATTTATTTTTTAGTCTTGTTCTCTGTTTTGCTTTTGATAATTTCTATGTCTGTCTTCAAGTTTGTTGATGTTTTCTCTTATGGTATCTTACCTGCTATTAATCTCATTCAGCATATTTATCACTTCAGATATTATATTTTCATCTCTATAAGTTGAATTTGGTTTTTTTTTTATCATTAATACTTTCCTCATCACAGTCATCTTTTCCACTACATGCTTGAGCATATGAGGTACATTTATAATAGATATTTTAACCTCCCTGTCTGGCAATTCCTTCATTTGTGTCATCTCTGGGTATGATCTTGTCAATTATTTTTTCTGCTGTTTATGGGTCCTATTTTTCTAAGTTTTTTGCATACCTGGTAAGTTTTGATTGGATTCTGAGCATTGTAAATTTTACTTTACTGGGTGCTGGATTTGCAAAGTTCTGTATTCTTAACTATAGTTGGACTCTGTTTTAGGACAAAGTTAAGTTATTTGGAATCTGTTTGATTCCTTTGATACTTGTTTTTAAGCTTTGTTACCGTGGGTGAAGCAGACTTTATCATCTAGGGCAATGTCATCTCACACCAACGATATATCCTTGCGAGGACTCTACTTGATGCTGCCTATATTAGGAAGTCTTTGCACTCTGGCTGGTGGCAAAATGAAATATTTCCAGCCCTAGGTTCACCCTGGGAATAGTCTGCCTGTTCCTTTCTGGGAGTTCATTTCCCAGTCTTGGGTAATTCTTTTACATACATACACAGATCACAAATTAGCTAAAGACTCCTGAAGAATCTCTGCACGTCTCTTTTTCTCTCTCTCTGTGCAGCAATCTCTTCTCCAATATTTTGCCGCCTCCTTGAACTCCAAACTCTGACTCTTCAGCTCAGTGAGAACACTGGTATGTTTGGGTTTCCTCCTCCTCATGTTGCAGACTAGAGCTTTTCTTCACACAGTAGGTGGGAGCAATTGTAGGATGCACTGTATTTCTTCCATTCTCTTCAGGATCATTATCTTATGCTGCCTGTCATCCAATGTCTGAAAACTATTTTTTTCATATATTTTATTCAATTTTCTAGTCATTTAAAGGGAGAGGATAAATCTAGTCAGCTCTCATGACTGGAAGTGGAAGTTCTCTCAACGTTAATGATCTAAAGTAGGAGTAGGCAAACTAAGACTATGAGCTAAATCTGGCCCACTAGCTGTTTTTTTAAAGTGTTACTGGAACACAATGATGCTCTTTTTTTTTTTTATGTATTGTATGGCACTTTCATGCTACAATAGCAGGGTTGAATAGTTGTGACAGAAACCATATGGTCTGCAAAATCTGGTCCTTTACAGAAAACAGTTAGCAGAACCCTGATATAAAAGATTAAAAACAAAATATAATTGTATTCAAAGTCAAGAAATTTTGAAAATAATTTTATTAAAAATGTAATCTAAAGTAAATGCTAAAGATGTTAAATATTTTATTTTTCAAAAAGCATGAAATATTCAATATTATCTACAAAAATTAAAAGGTAAAAATGCATAGTATAATTAATATCAAATTTTAATCAAAATTATTTAAATAAGGCTTATACTTAGCATTTTAATTTGGAACTTTTGTTTATTATTACACATTAAAGTAAGTATTAAAAGTAAAATTGGCTGGGCGCAGTGGCTCATGCCTATAATCCTACCATTCTGGGAGGCCAAGGTGGACAGATCATTTGAGCTCAGGAGTTTGAGAACAGCCTAAGCAAGAGAAAGATCCCATTCTCTACTAAAATAGAAAGAAATTAATTGGCCAACTAAAAATAAACATAGAAAAAATTAGCTGGACCTGGTGGCACATGCCTGTAGTCTCAGCTACTCGGGAGGCTGAGGCAGAAGGATCGCTTGAGCCCAGGAATTTGAGGTTGCTGTGAGCTAGGTTGATGCCACGGCATTCTAGCCCAAGCAACAGAGTGAGACTCTGTCTCAAAAAAAAAAAAAAAAAAAAAAGTAAAATTATGTGTAATTCTACCTTTCAAGGTTTGTTTATCTGGATGACAATGTAAAATTTTATCACACTTCCAGCATGTCATATCTAGACCAACATAACCTCAGATTTAAGAGTAAAATAGGGCCGGGCGTGGTGGCTCATGCCTGTAATCCTAGCACTCTGGGAGGCTGAGGCGGGTGGATTGCTCGAGGCCAGGAGTTCAAACCAGCCTGAGCCTGAGCAAGAGTGAGACCCCCGTCTCTACTATAAATAGAAACAAATTAATTGGCCAACTAATATATATAGAAAAAATTAGCCGGGCATGGGTGGCGCATGCCTGTAGTCTCAACTACTCGGGAGGCTGAGGCAGGAGATCGCTTGAGCCCAGGAGTTTGAGGTTGCTGTGAGCTAGGCTGACGCCAGGGCACTCATTATAGCCTGGGCAACAAAGCAAGACTCTGTCTCAAAAAAAAGAGAAAAATAAACTGTTTAATATTTTACAGTCTTCATGTGCAACTATTGCAAACAGCCATCCTAATTTATGAGTACCTCCTGGATCACTAATTGTTACATAAAGACAAACAAGGGAATAGACACTTGGTACTATTGAGAAATGATACCTCATTATGCAAGAATCTATTGCATTCCTGCTGTCCCTGAGGAAGGATTTAAAAGTCAATTACTGTGTCTTTTCTCTTCCCACTGCAGCTCAAATCCCTCATATTCCAAGGCAATGTCTTCTTGACCTCACCAGGTACAGTCACTTTTTGTTTTGGGGACTTAAAGGGAGAGATATGAAGAAGTGTTTCTCTGGAGCCTGAATGGAATTACTAACGAGTGTGGATATTTAGTTATAAGATTCTTTGTGCGCACTCAGTACCAGAGTCTAAGTGACATGGGTACAAGGTGTGCTTTCAGAAAATTGTGTGTGCGCATGTACTTGTATGTGTGTATGCAGACATATGTTTGCAAATAGAGACTCATGTCTGATATTCAGGGTCCTCAAAAGGGCAAGACCTAAAGCATGGGCCACTCTTGTGCAAATCTAAGGGTGGTATTAAGGAAATCCATCGGATGCTTATATCATTTTAGAGAAAAACCACAGAAAAGTGTCATGATGATGAAAAAAAGGGTTAAGTCTTAAGCATCACTAAGTATGACAGTGTCTTTGGAAAAAAATTAAATGATTGATGGTGGCAGTCCATCTTTAACTAAAATGGGCTTTCCAATGACTTTTAAATTTATTGCATAAGTATACATTTTTATTTATTTGGTATTTTCCATCAATTATTTATGTGTCATTACTTTCAATCTATAAAATGTAATATAGTATTAAAATCATGATACCTTCTGTGTTTAAAATATACCAAAATATTATAGTTCAAGTTAGTAAGAAAGGTATTTTAAATTCAACCAAAGGATGGCAACATAACATCAATTACTTAGAGCCTGATACCACCACCTTCACTGTTGACAAGAGAAATCACAAGTTCGTGGTACCCAGTGGTCTGAGTAATAACATGTGATCAGCAATACATTATTATTTAGGCCAGATGAACTGTTCCCTTAATGTGTAACATCACTAATCTCTCTAACACGTATTAAGATACTTGCTGGTTAGTAGTGTTAAATAGTTCCATTTTTTGCCTTCACTACTCTAATGGACATTTGTTGCTTTCTGGCCATCCCAATCTCCACTCCCTTTTTGGATGGCTGTGGGTAAACATATCCCGAATCCTCTGCCCACTCTTAGGCTTAGTGTTTCTGACCAGATGTTCCAGTGTGCCGTCTAGCCCCCGTCCAAGCGATTCAATGCCTCACTTTCCCCTGGCCTCTGTGATTATTTCAGGCATGGTCATTTGTCCCAATGATTTCAACACATCTCTACCCCATTTTCTGAACATAAACTTGCAAATATATAACCATATTAACTTACCTGCCATAGAATGCTGGAGTTGGAGGTGATCTTCAATGACATGTAATCTCTGCTTCCCTTTTAGTTCCTGAAAAATTCACCCAAAGCCAACAGGTGGGCAGAACAAGGTAAGCATTGTGCTGGAAGGGGCAGGGATACACACTGCCAGAGTTCAGAGTATGGCAAGCATCCCTGTGGAGAGAGAACCTGGCATGGGGTGTCAAAGCCTGAGAAGAGTGAGCAGAGCATCTATGGGGGAAGGACTGCTTTGGGAGTCAAAGCCTGAGCTGTTGTTGACTAGAAGAAACCAGTAGAGAGAAAGAAGAAATGGAACCAAGC